GTGCGTGCGTGTGTGTGTGTGTGTGTGTGTGTGTGTGTGTGTGTGTGAATTCTTATTAATATTTGCGTTCAGTAGAAAAAGGTTTACAACTATTGTAAAATTCCTTAATATGATTAATTCTTATGTTCTTAGTTCTCCTAAAAGTTTAAATCAATCATATTAAAGAATTTTATAACAGTTGCAAAGCTGCTTGTTTTGCCGAGCACATTGAATCGTATTCATTTAAAAAAAAAATCAATTTCTCTTAATTGCGATTCGTCGAAAGCAGACAGACTATATAAATTCACCGGTTATTGAATTTGATATCTACAGCTTGTGCGATTAAAACCTTTTGGCAAGCAATCCTATAAAAAATTATTTAATCTTATTCGAAAGAAATGTGAAATATCTTATTAATTCTTGTTTAGTGCTTTTTTGTATACATGGATATACGCAGATATAATCCCATTGCGTTTGTTCCGATTCATTCCGAATTTGAAAAGTAAATCGGAAAACATCGGAAATTTTCCCAATCGGTTATAATTAGAACATAATATAGTTTTAAGCAGGTAAATTTACCGGTTAATTCCCATTGGATGTGACATCTGCAGCTTGTCCGATTGAAACTTATTGGGAAGGAATCCTATAAAAAATCTATTCAATATCTTATTCGAAGTAAATGTAAAGTATCTTATTAATTCCTGTTCAGCGCTTTCTTATATACATAGGCATACGCCGATACAATCCCATTGCGTTTGTTCCGATTCATTTCGATTTGAAAAGTAAATCGAAAAACATCGGAAACTTCCAATGAATTAACCCGATTACAACCGATTCCAATTTTTCCAATCGGTTTTAATTGGAACTTTTAAGCAGGGATGACAACTAAAACTTCATGTTATTAAATAAATTGACTGTAACAGACATGCATATTTTGCTATCACGTCCTTATATTAGCTATAGCAGCATATCCTTTGTATGTATTAGCAAATTTTATAGCTACAGTAGCAATTTCAGCTAATCAGAATTAGCTGTGACCAGAAACATTTTTTTCCGTGTAGCGCTAATAGCGTTTCCTCGAACGCACCAGATTCAAGTGTCATTCTAGTTTTATTATTTATTGAATACCAAGTAGGATAGGATGATATTTATGTCGACTGTGTTTTCTAAAAGAAATGTAGCTATGGATACAGATAAAATGATTGTTGGTGAATTTGATTACTTGCACTACATTGGAAATTAGTACACATTAAAATATCTTTATATAAAATATCTAAATACAGTGGCATAAAATAATCAACTTCGACAATGAATTTATTAATATAGCTTCCAAACTATTAATAAATTATTAAATATTACAACAATAATATTGAGAAAAATTAGAAATAATTAAAAATAGATAAAGATTCATGATATAGCAGTAATAAGTAAAAATAATATTTTTATAAAGTTTATGTAGATAAATGTATGTTTTGTGTGTATTATATTTCTTTTTGATTGATCGGATCATTAATCGATCATTAAAATTGATGCCCTTCTAAAAAAAGCATTTTTTAAAAGTGTCTAAGCTTTCCTTAAGAACATTTTTACGCTTTTTTATCAGTTTTTTAATTGCATTTCGAGTTTTTGGATCATGATCAAAATTAACGTCGGAGAATACTTTTATCTGAAACAGGTTAATTGAAGATGTTTAATAACAAGTATAATTTCTTATACAGTTAGATTTTAAAATACGCGTCACGGTACTATTCGATTTTATGTAATTTCCTTCAAAAATAGTTTAAAGATGCAAACGTAATTAATTATTAATGTCATTATTAATTTAATTATATAAAGTTGAAATAATTTATATGCGACAAGTGATTTTTATTTACAACGCGCCATAACTTTTTAGTTTAGCTTTATCGATTTGATAGTTGATAAATCAATAAGTATGTAAATTAGAATCATAAAACATACCTTATCGATTTGTTCATCATAAAAAAGATTCCGAAGAATATGTTTTATTATTACAGTTGTAGTAAATAATCTATAAAGACAAAATAATATAGTCATGATTAATAAGTCTTTATGATTGAAAATACTATATTTAACAAGAGAAATGTTATTACTTGGGTTTTATAATTTCAAAATTGGACAATATGTAATCCAAGATCAAATCGTTGTTCAAATGCTTATTAAGAATAGACTTGAAGATAAGAGAACGTTCCTTTTCATGAAATAATGAAGTGTTGAATGTTGTAATGTTTAAATAATTGATGATAATATCAGAATTTTCGGCGCAACTCAAACTATTCAACAATGTTTCTTTTAATTCTCCCATTTCTAGATCTGTCTTTTGATATAATTCCAACATTTTATCCCAAGTAGTCTTATTGGTTGCCATCAAACCAACACAATACATAAAATTATGCCCTGGTAGCACTCTAAAAAATATATATGTCTATTAATAAAAGATATATACTTTCATATGTATGAATAATTTTCTATTTTATTTCTATTTTATTTCTATTTTATCAAGTTTCATATATTAATGTTCTATGCTTTATTAAACAACTTCATTTTGTAAAATTAAATTCCTGTTCTGCGCTACTTTTCCATTCTATATAATACTTGTTACGTAATCATTTTACAATGAAGAAATAAATAAAAAAAGATTCTATTGGTAATGTCACTTAATAATTTACTGTATATTTTTATTTACAACGTCATATTTATTCTATGCATTATGTTATTAGAATAATCTAGTATGTTGATTGAAGGAAAACAGTAAGGAGAATGTTTGATTTGGTTATATATCGATATGCATGCGCGCGCGTAGTAAAACACACACGCGCGCGCGCGCGCACACACACAAACAAATACAATTTATGAGATAATGGAAGTTATACAAATAGGCTTGTTCTTTTTGGTTAAACTTTTGGACCAGTTCATCTTTCTTTCTCTTCTTTCCTTCTGGAGAGAAAAGAAAGAAAGATAAACTGGTGCAAAAGTTCAGCCAAAAAAAACAGGCCTAATGTTACTTGTAAAGTTCGGGATCCGCTAGATGTTGATTTAATTTAATGAAGATCGTATTCTTGCAAAACTGGTCATTGAAGGTACATGCCCATTTTATAGCTTTTATTCTTATCTGTTTTGTAATATGATCATCATCAATATTTTCTAAGTATCCTATATTTCGAAGAAGGTCGCTAAGTAGTGTCATTATAGTTATCTAGAAATCGTGAAGTAATAATACATTGGTTTTATATTTGGGTTATTGGTATTTGTATTCATGAAAAGTACAATTTATGTTCCCAATGTGCCGAAACGACAAAAGAATTTTTGCAGAATGTTCAAATATTGATGAAATATTCAAAATATTATATGCACATATATTCTTATATTGTATATATTGTATATATCGCGAAAATCAATACAGTAAAAATTAATTCAGGGACTTCCGAACTTGGAATTTTTAGGATTATTACAATTTTGCGAAATATGTATGGAACATGTTTCAAATATACTTCAAAAGATTTTAAAGGATGATTTCTCACATAAATTTAAGATTTAACGCAGTCATTTACTATGTGTTTGAGGCTGCGGTCCACTTGACGCTACAAACGCTTCGAAGCGTTTGAACGACCAATCAGAACAAAGAATTTTACGAATTGACTAATCAAAGAATGCGTTTGTAGCGTCAAGTGGACCGCAGCCTGAAACGACTAAGTTTTTTTTCATAAAGATTGTATTCTTGCAAAATGACTTCTCAGAGAAATACATCACGTATGATGGTATTTATAATTTAAACGTATTACTTGATAATATACCGTTTATAGTGATTTCACTATAATTGAAATTTCACTATGATGTAAACAATTGAAATATTCGCGTTGCTTGAAATCTCCAAATATTTTTACACTTAAAATGAGACAGATATATATTTGAACGTTGAAAAGAAAGAAAACGAAGATGCTGACTGCAAAAAGTGCATACAATGTGAATAGACCTACTAAGGCACGTAAAATATGCTAAGCAGTCAATATATATTTATTGTAACAAGCATTATGTGTTCGCAAAATGATTATTATTATTTCGATTGTATTCTTTATTTCTATACTATATAAGTTAAGACATAACATTATAAAATTTTTATGGCTTATTATTAATTTATATTTATACTAATGAAGAAATTTTTTCTATGTAAAATATTTAAGATAGTTATAACGCAAAATAACTTTTCTTAAGATCTGTTTAAAACTTTTACTTGAACATAATGATATTCTCTATACTCTATACTCTATACATACGCATAGGCGCTAAGGGGGGGAGGGGTAACCATGCATGTTCAAAAAATAATTGTATTTGAAGATAGTACATTTAATATATACGTTCCCAGTGCTAGATAAGGAGCAACATTTTCAATTATAGCGCAAAAATTATATTTAAAAATTCATTCAAAATCTAAGGGACTATAGCTAAATATAACCTGGAGACACGGTAGTGTCTCGGCGCTAAGCCAAGCGCAGCGTATGAATCACTTAAACCTACAAAAATGGGGAGTAATCAGGTAAATATTAATTATAAAGCCTTAGGAAGATTGCAATCTTCCTAAGGCTTTATAATTAATATTTACCTGATTACTCCCCATTTTTGTCTGATTAGCCCTCTAAAAATTATGCGTATATATAAAGAATATTATTATTTTCAGATACTAAAAGCATCAAGCAAATCTTAAGAAAAGTCATCTCTAGATAATGTTTGCGATACAACTTAATGTCTACGGTACTATTGTATATTTACGACGCAATATTTCGATTGATATCACGGAGAATATATAAATGTAGAAATATATACAAAACTGAAAAATTAACTGTAATACCACAGATATACTTTTATCAACTCAGTTATATCAATACCTTGACATATGTGGCCTCTGGCAGGAAAAAGAATTCCTTTAATATTGGTATAAATCGGAACAATAATTGATACCATGCCACATAATCGACTTCTCGCTGTAAATATCTTATAAAATTAACGAAGACGAATCCGCTTATTCTTCCATCCATAAAGGAAAAAAGATCATCGATAATTTGAGCACGATTAAGAACGTGTATATTCGTGTATTCCTCAGAATTTAAGTAATTTGAAATTTTTTCCCAATTCTTGATATCGTAACTTACACGATAGTATCCTATTGCATTATTCATTATATTTATGTATATATATATATATATAATATACATTATTAGATTCATTATATATATATGTATATAGTACATTATTAGATCTTTTTAATTAAATTCATTGAGACATACTTACCAGTTTGTTGTATATTAACAATAATCCAATCATTTGGATCAGTTATAAAGGTTACATTTTGATTCGGTCGTAACCAATATCTGGGCACAGTATTGGAGAAATCCGGATTGGACTGCGTGGCAAAAGTTATGGGTATCCACCATTTGTCATTAATTTCCTGTCCGTAAACACATTTTTGAGATATTATTATTTCGCCAGTTGTGTAATTTTTCGTCACGTTCACCTCGGGATAACTCTTTTGATTCATCCATGTATCCATTACTTCCTTTATTTTATAATGTTCGTGCGGGACATCAGATCCGTCTAAAGCAGTTTGCATAGCGCTCCACAAATCATCCGGAGTGGTTGAGCTATATTCACTAAAAAACGATATTGTTAACATGTATTGGGAAATTTAAATTTACCATTGAAGACTCTATGTGAATATTAACGTACAATTTAGTTAATAAATTATTTATAGAGGAAGATCACCGATACTGACACAGGTCTCTTAAAGCGACATCCCTTTATTTCTTAGAAACTAATCTTTGCACCTTATTAATACTAATAAAAACGTGATATGTTTAGCTAATTAAAGAAGTACAAACTCATAATTCATACATTTGTGGCTTATTTCTATACCAAATCAGCTAAAAACAAATTCTATGAATCCGAGAAGAAAATTCTTACGATGTTCTTTTGCAAATTGCGTAATTAAAATAATAGTGACTGTATTATTGATAATATTATGTCATTTTAAATGTTTATAGTTTCATAAATTAGTTTTCTTTATTACATTATATACAGAATAGGATATATCTTTATTTATAGAATAGGAATGTTGGGGCATTATTGTCTAATACGTTTGGAGCTCATTTTGTCAGACGCTCATTTTTGCATAACTTACGAAAAACTTAATTATTGCAAAATTGCAAACAGTATTATAAAAACTGCTTATACTATCTGATAGAAGACATTTTTTATAGTTTGTATTTATGTTTTTAAAATTGTATTTTTACCTTTGTTTAAGAAATATTGTCTAAAACAAGAGAAATATGTCAGTATTGGTGACCTTCCCCTAAACGTTATGCGTACAAAAATTTAAAATATGTTGAGTTACATATTTTAAATTTTTGTAACTAATTTAAATTAAAATATAATTAATAATATGTAAAGTGTGAATGGTCTGTAATTGAATAGTAATGCGATATCTCAAGTGCTTAATATCACGTTTTTGATGAAATAGTATACTTTTCAGTACAAAAGGTATTATTACATTTATGATACTTAGTATTGTGATATATAATAAATATACATTAAACACACTTACTGTGTGGCTAAATATATGATAAGACCCTTTCGGAATATCTCGTCGGTAATAGTATTTTGTAACATGCGCAAAATAACTGGCGCTACAATAGTGCATCAAATATCGATTAATAATATAGTTAAAGTACACATAAAATTAGGATATACAATGTAATACACATATGTAAGTATACGAGGGCAAATCAATAAGTATCCGTGCTAATGAAGACGCAAGTTTTCACAAAACTTTTTTTTATTTTTCAAATCCCCTTTTAGGAGAATACACTTTTCCCAACGTTTCTGCCATTTTTTTAAACCCTCCGAAAAATACGATTTGTCGAACTCTGCAAAATAGGCCTCTGTTTCGGCAATGACCTCCTCATTCGACGTGAATCTTTTTCCACCGAGCCATTTTTTCAAGTTTGGAAACAAGAAGAAATCGCAGGGGACCAAATCCGGAGAGTACGGTGGATGCGGCAGTAATTCGTACCGCAATTCGACCAATTTGGCTGTGGCGACTGCGGAGG